GAAAAAGATGCTATTTTACTTCTGTCTCATTTTACACAGTTCTAAAGAACAGCAGATACCTCCTCTGGTAGGCCACGAAGTCTGCGGCCTACCTTTCAAATTTCTGTACTGGCATTTATTGTGTTGAAGTTCAAATCCCTTTACAGCTGTGGTCTGAACAAGGAAAGGGCACTTAAGGGAATAAGACTACAACTTGCTTTTCTGGGTTACATTAAAATCCATTGATTTCCATCTGTTACTTGAACAAAACAGAGTGCATTTTTGATAAAAATAAAATTGCTTATTTTGGAGAATATACGTTAAATATATTTGATGTTTATGGTCTGTAAATTGGACAGTTCTGTTCTTCTTAGAGTTACTTAATAATACAAGAGGAAGTCACTATGCTCAAAAGAGCTATTTTCATTCTAAGCACAAAAAGCTCTTTCACTTCATTATGTCATTAGAAGCACTACAGAAAGCGTTCCACCTGCAAGTCCACTTGCCCCCTCACTCAGCAAAGCCCCGGCACTGAAAAGCACCTGTGCATGTGCTTTGAGTTCAGCATGTGCCCAAGTACTTTTCTAAACAGATGTCAACAGCTAGATCTTTTTACTTTCCAGGCTAATTTCATTTGCCCTTTGCTTCTCTTGCTTCAAAAAGAGGAGAGATCATCGCCACTATAGAAAGTTGACCAGTCAAACCTGCAACTGCTTTTTTTCCTGGGACTTCTGCAATAGTCAAATCCTAGGTGTAATACAGCAGTCAGATACATTGAAGACACCTGCGCTTTTACAACACATATGAACATGCTGGGCCAAACATAATGGCCCAAATATATAATAAAGCTCCCAGGTTTCTTTCCTTCCCTGCAACACCTGTGACCCCAGTTTAAGCGGCTGGCTACAGCAGCACGTGAAGCTCTGAACCACAGGAGCAGAGCAGAGCAGCTGGGATACCCTAGCAGAGATGACCTCTTCTACTAGTATGCACTACACTTTGATTAGGAGCTTTCTTTTGCTGCTGCAGATGGAAAATATCTGTCACCACCGTTTGCCCCTGTTCACATGAAACACAGGAGCATTCAAAGACAGGATTAGTAGCATAGCTTCTCCAAGGCTGTGTTCAGAGGCGACCTCACCTACACATCTCCTACTGCTTGCAGCTTTGCTCTCAGGGCAGGAACACCAAACCTACCTCAGTGATGCTAACCTCAGGCTGATGGTCTCTTCAGGACTATACTTTAACTCAAGTTTTAGATTATAAATACTTTCAGTGTTCAGTCTAATGGTATCTGAGTCTTCAAAGGCTAGCAAAGCATGTATGAGAGCCCTACAGACTGACCAATCTTTACAGAAAATAAAAGGCAAAGAAGAAATTGATGTTAGGGTTTGAAATAGTCTTTAAAAAGCAAATTCAATAGGAAAAATGAACTAAGGAGCGTATGCCTTATACACTGTTGTTACAAACTGCCACGTGGGAGCCTGCAGAATGGTTAGCCATTTTTCAGTCTACTCACACTGTCCAAGTGGCTTTGACATGCACTCGTGGTAATTTAGCTAATATTACTCACGTGGGCAGAGAAGCAAAGAATCAACTTAAAATTAAGGAAAATATTTGCCATTTTCCTTTAAAATAAGTCAACAGTTGCTACAGAGAGACAGCAAACTATGGTTTTATCACACACAAGCTAAATCACAGACTAAAATAATTTCATTTTGAAATTGTGGCAAAAGTTTGCAAATTATGGCAACCTCTTTGTAACAGAGTGGTATGGGAACTGTGCATATATGTTTTGGGGTAGCTGAATGGATGCAGAAAGTGAGAATGAGCTTTCTAAAGCCAAACAGGGGGATACAGTCACACAGAAATTCATGGCAACTCTGTGGCTGGACTTTCTAACCAGCCTTTAAAAAAAAATCCCCCCTTTTTGGTGTTCTATACTAAGTCAAGAGAATATTATTAAGATTGCAAAGTCAGGCATTCAAGAGTGAGGCAATGTCAGAATGAAGGCCGTCTGTTCAACCTTAATTTGGCCTCTTGTGAATATGAATTATGATATTGCCTTTAATTAAGATGATCATACAGTATTTTTTCCTATGCCTCATTCATAACATGTGATGGATGGTGCTCACTGAATGATGAAACTTCACAGAGTTTTCTATGTGGTTTATCGTTAGAGCTATGACATACTCAATAAACATTACTAATTTAATTTTACTGTAGTCCTCAAGGGAAAAGCTAGTTTTTTTCACTTAGTTTATCCATCTAGAACCTACTCCCATTGCTCAGGTTTTCATCAAAGCTTAGCTTCCTTCCTATTTGGTCTAGGCAGCTTTATTTGCATCAGCTTTGGGAAGGTATTGACAATACATGGGAACCAAAGTTGGGGTCCCCATTCTGGTGTGGGTCTTGGGTAGTCAGGCTTGGAGAAGGTCAACAGATCAGGGATGGCAGGGAAAATCCTGTTCAGCCACAAGATGGATCATTCCCAAAGTTGATAAGCACTTTAGAGAATTACCTGTGCACTACAGGGAAGTGCAGGCATATTTTTTTCTAAAACTTGGACAAAGACAAATAGATTTTCCCCATAAATTCAGAAGTGTTACTAACATAAACACTATCCTTCTTCCAAAGACCCAGTTTCACAGCAAGAGAAAAGTAGAGAAAAAGTTTTCCAGACATGATTTTTTTTTTCATAGACTTGCACTTGGAAATAGATGACTTGTTCTGACAAAAAGTTTTCCACCAAAAAAATAGTTCCCCCAAGAGAAATACCTTTCAGGGACAATTTCAGCCAAGATGGTTGAAATTTGGCAAGCTTACAAGTGACTTTTACTTTAGTCATCATTCATCAATCATCTTTCTTAAGAATGATGGATTGTGTAATTCTAAAGGGAATGAATACAGTCTAGAAGAGCACTCTCTGGGTACACAGGCCCCTAAGTTATTTATATCATGGTTAATACATCATAGGCTGGATTTAATGCTCTAAAATGTTTTTGACTTTAAATGCGATGATTCAAAGCTCACAAGAGGTGGAGAACTTTTTGAGATCTGAGAAGACAAACTGAGTTCAAACCCTGGAATACTATAAATTTCCTCAAACCAAATGAAACCCACCACATTTTGTGTCACATATATTGCCTTTGGCTAACATTGCCAACCTTAGGGGCTTACCTGAGATCTAAGCTTGGTAGTCTATTTTTTTGAGGTCCTGAATATTCACAAATTCACAGATACGAGGGATGACAATTTTAAGTGTCCCTACGCTGTATCTCTGAAAGGGAGTTTTCTTTCACTTGGATACCTACCCATGGACTCAGCTACGCAATTTTGATCTCTGATGTTTCTGTTCTCTTTATATTCTTCCTATATTTCCATTATCACCTAAAATGACGTGGTATTAGAAGAAAAACATCTTGAGCAGGTATAAAACTTTATGAGAAAGAGGAATCTTTCCATCAACAGCCAGTCTCAGCCACTCAGTGGTGCAATAAATACAGCAGAGATGTTCACTGTGCTCTAGCAGAATGTGTACAGCTGTGTGGCATTTTGGCATTTCTTATTTTTATTTAACACATTCTTTCCATCAGAATGAATTCTTGAATTCAGTGAAGGAAACAATCCCCCTGAAATAAAAAAACTGCAAAAATGTCCTAGACTTAACAGCAGAGCATGAGTTATGCAAGTTCGTCAAATGACAAACAAGTCAACAGGGTTTGTGCTTTGGGCTTCCCACCCTAAGCTGCAGTTGATAATCTGTCACAATGTGATGTCTGTCACCGCTGCTGCTGCTCTTGGGAAGTACAGCCAGATTCCTTAGTATATTCATTGTCCACCAGTACTTTCATGTGCTACTGCAGCTTTCAGAAGCAGTGACTTTAAACCATTTGTAGCTCACTAAAATGACTGAATCTGTGTTTTCTTTCCTTCCCGAGTTTTGAAAGCCTGCTGCAAATAACAGACATCTTACCACCTCCAATAACAACCATCTATTACAATCAAGCCCTAGTTATGTGTGAATAGAGTAACCACATTGCAGTATTACCGTGCATATGTAATACACAGCTCAGGTCCAGCAGAACATAATATCCCTAACACGAGGCCACATGGCTACAGCTAATTTGCTTCCAAATTCTGCTGGGTTTGTGTGTCCTGTCCTCTCCCTCTGTGGGACCATCAGAGGAGCTCCTTCTTCTTTATCTGGCCACTTATTTCCATGAACTTTCTAGTAACTTGCCTAGCTTTGGAATCTTTGCAACTCTGATCAACAAGTTAAAAATTATTGAGAAAACAGACAAACAGCCACAAAGACAGTATCATCACAGAAGCCTTATTTTTGAAGGAAACCAACCAAAAAGCATTGTTGAACTTGCGCACTGTCTCCTATGAATACAAGTACATTTAAAAAAATACTGTGGAGGCATGTCACGAGTTGCATGAGATCAGTTTCCCCCAGAACTGTTCCAGAGCAGAAACATGGTTAAGTCATATTAAAACTGCAGAAATCCCTTTAATAAAAATCACACATTAACATTACACAACTTTGAAGTGCTCTGCATGTGTTAAAATAAATACATCTAAATACACTGATGAATAAATATGTGATGTGAATACCAAGACATTTGGATCTTAAAGTTACTTTTTTATAAATAATTTCTTGCTGAAAATTATTCCATTCACTTCACTTTAATTCTAGACAAATTTTCTGACTATTAGAGTTCCTTCTTGATTGTCTGATAATTAAACAGAATCCTGTCAAGTTTAAATGATCGCTAGTATTTTGCAGCTGAATTCCTAACACAAACAGGCATATGTTTAACTTTAAACATTTGCTTACGTGCCTTCCTGAAGTAAGGCTTAAATGCTCTCTCTGGTACAACACTAACAGCTCAGCCCATCTATTGAGAACTTACAACTTGAAAATGCAGGATCAGGTCTTGTGCTAGGAAAATAAGAAGAAAAATCCTCATGTAGAAATAATATCATCTACAGTTGACACTGGAAAACCTGAAAATATATAATTCAATGCCATCAATCCATCTAGAATTTCAAGAATCAGCATGAAGAAACAGAAAAGCAGGGATAATTTGATCTTTATTTAGGCCTATCTATTTAAGAAAAGTTGCATCATATTCAGAGAGTCTAACATTGCAAGTAAGATTTTACTAGACTGATAAAATCATTAACATCACCAATTTAAGGCAGCTGTTACATAGTGTTACATTAGTATTTCAGTCAGATTGAATTCTTCTTTGGATACATTCATGCATTAATTTCTACTGTATTTTTACACTGCACTTTGAGATATATAGGATTGTTTTGTTTCCCCATATTAGTGACCCATCTGGTTAAGCTTTTCTCAAACAATACAGAGAATGGACTCACTGTTCTTCTTGGTGGAAGTGAAAAGACTTAATGACTTAATGATTTAATGACTTATATGATGCAAGAAATGCACATGGAGAATGCCGTGGAGATAAATATACATCTCATATGTGTATGTCACATGCAAGCATTGAGAAATAGGAACGGAGGTTGAAACATTGTTATTATTCTTAGCTAAAATCATCTTCCTTCCATAGAAAACCCCAAAATATCCTTGCACTGAGCAGAGGGCCCATTAAACTTCCTCCTTTCCAAAAGATTCCTCTCCATGCCAACCTCTGTTGGGGATGAGAAATCTTCCATGGAGCCATAAACAATCGTCCATGTTGCCTCTATTGTTCAGTCCAATTTTGGCTTTTCTTTTCCTTCTTCAATACCTGAAAACATATGGAAAACAGCTTTTAAAAATCTCTCAATGAATAAAAATGAAGAGTTTACTTAGAGAGGTTCTTCTAATGCATTAATCTTTCTTTTCCCTTTATTGCTGTTGTTTCTCCCCTACTTGCTCACATGCTCTTGCATGTGTTACCTCACCTGCTGCGAACGAAAAGAGCATCTGCACACCTGATGGCAGTGGTTGTCCAGTAATGAACTGCACAATCCTCCCTCCCTCCGGACCATTTTCAAATCAGCCTAACCCCCTGCCGCATGCTCAGCCTTTGACGGCTGCAGGGGTCTGGGAACAGTTAGTTCCTTCACCTCCTCTGCTTACCTACAAGCAAATTAAAGTAGATGTTATTATAGTTGAAGCTAAGCAGCTGACTTTATTTGAAAGCAAGTTTTTAAAACTGTGTTTCAGAATTCAAGAACTTTAACCCCCCTTCCATTTCAACACTGGATTTTTAAATATTTGCAAGCACATCTCCCTTTTTTGAGAGTACAAGAATGAAGAATCAATTATTGTTGACAGGGTGCCTCTCTCTTCTTGTAACAGCCATGTCTTTCGGTAATATCAGGAGGGCTGAGTTGAGTGTAGGGCTCCTTAAAGAACTTATCCTTGCTGCAGGACTTGTCTCTTTTCTATGCTAGGCAAAGTCTGGACTGGGCAGCAGATTGTTTTTTCTGGCAATGAAAATATTCAGCTATTTCATATGCCTGTTCCTGGACAATGAGTTACTATTGGTATCTGACAAAAGTATTGTTCTTCTGACTAAGCCCTCTCTGCCAGACATCTCAAATACAAATATTTCTTTTGGAGGTTTTCAGGCCTGCTGCATGCTGGAAAAGAAAGACTTTTGAGGACTGAAGGCAAAAGAGAAGCAGTGTTTGACTGAGAATGCTGAGAGGAAAATCCAGTCACAAGTAAGATCACCTGCTAGTGCAACATATGCACAGATGGTAGGTACACTGAAAGTCCCTTTAAAACCATAGTTAATTCATTCCAATATGGGAAACAATAAGACCCATCTGCAGTTAGAAAGCACAACTGCAGAGCTGCTTCGCTGAAAGAAGCAACACAGAAACAAATGGGTCTGCGCACTGCCAGCAGCACAAGTACAATGGCCCTGGGTGTTGCTGGCAAACCAATTTAATGGAAGAGCCACAGTTGAAGGTTTAACAAACAAAACAAGAGGCTGGGTCCAAAAGATTACAGTGGGTTTACAAGGCTGCTCCAGAGCCAATATCTCCAGTCTTCTGCTTTCTGCTGGAAGGAACTTTTCCAATAGTTTTAAATGAGCTGTTTTATCTGCCTTTTTAAGAGCACCTCTTTCCTTTCTTCTGAAGCACTCTACTGCAGATGCATCAAATAGTTTGGCAGGAATGCAGATACCCTCAAAACTGTGGACAGACACTGGCTTGTACAAAGGGCAAATTTTTCCTTGCCTACCATGTTTGTGGTTTAACTTGGACAAACTAACTGCAAATCATTTTGTCAGTAGTGAGGTTTTATTTAATGCATCTCCAGAGGAAAAGGAAAAAACTCCAAACCCAAAACAACTCCCTCTCACCCCAGAAATCTTCTCATGGCAGACTGCTTTGATTTGCAAGCTTACTGCTCAAAAGCCCCTTTTAAATGTACAGTTTTCAAATAATATCTTCCCAAGTCTTGCACGGTGACAGACTGGCATTATTTTACATCTCTGCTGTTTGTGGTGTGCTTGCCATACGCTTCAGGTTAGGTGTATGCAAAGTGTTTCAAGCACAGCAGAACAGCAGGTGACTCATGGCATTTTCTGGTTTGCAAGTGCTCGAGCCACAAAGGACTTTGGATCAACGTTCCTTAACCAAATCAAGCAAATGATAGAGAGGATAATAAGGCCATTGCGAACCTTGGAAGAGGGTGGAAGAATGACCCGATGGATGTTAGCTCCTCTAGGGTGGAGGGCCACAAGAACCAGGGATTTTCTTATGCATACTGTGGAACAGTGAGGGAGATTTTCCACCATTTACTTATTCACGGACTTGGTAAGAACACGTGATTCTTCACCACATTATTATTCTTCATACAGGACTTAGGTCAAGTGAAATTATTCCTTGTGGCTGCCTTTTTTAGAAACTTCTTTCTGGAATTAAGTGAGTTAAATAGATCTGAATGTGACATCAAACTGAGGACTGAAAACCAGACTTGAACACTGACCAATGATTGCTGGTTCTAGAGCAAAACCAAAAAGACACTTTATAGCTGGGTGCTAATATGAGCAAATAGCAAGTAAAACTGCTTTGAGCTTCTGGCATTAGGTTCTACCTTGTACTGGAGGACTTGTTAAAAGAGATTTGTGTGTGCAATAAACTACCATGTGAATTTATGGTGTATTAACCAGTGCACACTTAGTTTCCCAAAAGGGGATACAGGCTGTTTGTATGGTCCCAACGTGTTATGGGCCCAACAAACGTAATGACAGAATTCCCACGGAGCATGGATTTCACTCCAGCTGTGATTTGCCACTCTAGTGATTATGAGTGTTGTTTGCTTATTTCAGGCAATTTGAATAATGAAAAACATCTTTCATAGAGTAAAGGAACCTACTTTTAATCTTGTGTTTGTCTTATTTTCCCTTTCCCTCTACTCAGCAACGGGTGGCCTAGGCAGGGTAGATGATGTAGAGTCTGCACAGTTATGTTTACCCTGCACTAAGGTGATCTTTCATTCCTATTATTTTACTGACATGACCATATTCATTTTTCTTGAGTAAATTTATAAGCAGAAAACATCTTATATCTAAAAATACTAAAAGAATATATTTTTATTTCTAAGTCTAAGCTTACCATTAATAGCATTCCCACAGAATGATACTTTATTCTAGCTGCATTTAATGGGTTCATCAGCTAATAAGTGGGTTGTAAACCAAGTGGGTTGTAAACCTCTCAGGTAATTGCCAACAGCTCTTAAATTAGTATTGGAAGTTATAAAAAAGAATACATATTCATAGCTCATCATGCTCTCCAGCAGCCACTCCGTTCATCTGGCTGCTTTTAACTGCAAGCAAGCAAGATGTTTCAGTGGAACTTCTGTCATTCTCCTCTGTTTTAGCCAGCTTAAAAAGTTCTTGACTTTCAAGGGAGCATAGTCAAGTCCCAATGGTGTATTTCATGAGTTAATATTCTGAAAATAATACTCACATTTTTGGGTATCCCAGATGTAGTTGTTCAGGACCTCTCCCACCAAGTAGAATATGTTAATTATTACGGTAACGGCTGCAAAAAAGATTATTTTGACACCTGGGCTGAGATGCTCAAGAAGCGGGTACACCCACACTCCTGTAACATGGTGAATCCAGCACACCCTGAAACAAAACAAAAATAACAAGTACTGACTCCTACAGCCCTGTTTTTCAAAAGTAGCTTGGGCTATAGTCTTAGCTACTGTAACCTAAAAAGGAATTATTTGAAAGGACTGCAAGTTGCAACTGAACTGGAGCACCTGGATGACATCCACCCAGAACAAACATCACAAATGATGAAACTACGACTGATTCCCCACATTCTTATTGCTTTGTTTTAAATTTAAGATGAGCAGTTGGACAGTTTCCATGTTCTGATGTAGGCAGGTATTTCCTTGCTGCATTTGTATTTATGAGGATCACACAGCTGTGTTTCATAGGGCGGTGTGGAAACCGCAGCACCCTCTGTTCCAAGCAGGTTCTTTATCCAAAGAGCATTCAGGGTTCTCCAGGTTTGTACACAGCCCAACTCTCTGCCTTCTGCAGCATCCTTCTTTTTGTTTTGTACACATTTGTGTGTTTCTGCTGCTTCTCCTCGCTATACCTGGCAAGTGCCTCAGTTTTGGGGTTTGCCAGAAACATATGGTTCAGCTTCTCTTCGGGAGAACAATTTCTTCAGCACCTGTGTTTTAGGTTGCTCCTCCTTTTCTTTCAGTTACCTGGTATCATTTGGGATCTAATAGTTTTTCTCTAGGTAGGACAAACATTTAAAAAAAAAAAAAAGAAACCACCTCATCAGTGAAATTCTGCCCAGCTCGACACTCAATATACAGTAAAGGAAAAGGAATGATGGTGGTTTGCTGGTGACACAGAGATTTTTAGCATTCAGCTACAGTGGAGGTTGTTGGTACGCTAACCCGAGAGACAGAGTGTCAGCTTTACTGCAGTGCAGCCTGAAGAAGCACTCCGGTATGTGCTTTCGCTGTGTGTGACTGCAGTGGACACCTGTACCCTCTGAAGGGATAGCTTTTGTCTTGAGATCTGATGTGGTGAGTGGTGAAGTCAGAGGGAGCAGAGCAAGTCCATACGTTCCAGTAGGTGGAACCTAAGAAAGGGAAATGATGCCAAACAACTGAGCAAACATCACGGAGGCTAACAGGGAAAAGTGCTCAGTAGAGACAGGCTGGGGCCCGTGAGCTGCTGGGCTCTCTTCAAGAATGTAAATCTCTTCCTTTCTGACCTGGCAATTTGAGAGAGAAGCTCACAGTAAAGCACAGCTAGAGAAGACTCAGGAGCTGCACAGACTACTATTGATGGGGATTTCCATGTCCGTATGATTTGCTTCACTTGCTGATACTTCTATTTGTTTAAGGAAGACACTTGATCACTAGATCAACAGTCATCGGCTCCTGAAGGGCAGATACATAGAAGTCCACCCAAAACTGTTACCATAAATGCCCGTCACACAGAAAGTACAGAATCCCTGTTTAACGATTCTCCATCACCCTGGAAATGTACATGGTTGTCATAGCTTCCCTCCTCCTTAGAAAAGCTTTTATTACAGCCAAACCCTTAACAGTTGGGACACTTCATGTAGGAATTTACATGTGTCAGTAAATTAATCTGCACAATCTAAATGCAGATTAAAACCCCTTTCTCCAAATGAGTTCACATATGGAAAATGATCTCTGTATTTTACAGCTATTTTCCACAACATTCTTATGTGCCAGAATTAACCTGACAAAATAAAGGTATCTGTGAAAAAATAAAGGGTTCCTCTGTATCCCAGGTTAACAGGGGATACCATGTTCCTCTTGATCAACGAAAAAGATGGGACAGCCGGGTAGAAGGTAATGGGATGTCCTCTACTCCCAGGTTGGCTTAGCAGGGAGTGTCTACTATTGCTTAACGTTTTTCAGTTTTGTTTGCCTTCTTTTTATGATGATTCTGTGAAAAACAAGCTCCAAGGAAAAAGCTCAGAAAAAACTCAGTGCTTCTTTTTCACTTCTTTTCTCTGGTGTGATAAAACTGCCCAGCACTAGAAAGCACCTTTACAGAGGGACTTTTCAAGGGACCTTCTAAACTGCATCTACATAGCCAAATTCATGAACCAAGTAGAAGTGGCATTTACTAGAATGCATTTATATCGGAAAGAGGAAATATTTTCTAAATCCAGCCAATGAGTCACTGATGAGCTCCCGAATGTCAGCGATCTCTGATGAGTTCAGAGTCTTTGAGCACAGCTCATGCACTCTGCTGCCCAGCACAGGAGCCCATTTGTTGCTTGGCGATACTGCTCGTGTGCTCAGCGTAGCTGCTGTAGGCCCGTCCCCAGTGCAGCCACACCACGGGAGCTCATGCTTTGAGCACAAGAGGTACTGAGCACCACTCGGGACACTACGGTCACAAACCCATGTGATCAGCTGCCCTCATCTTCCTTAAAATGAGCTGCACCATGCCGCTTGCTACATTGGGATGGAGTAATATTAGCCTTCTCTCCACTGAGCAGTGACACACTGACTATTCCCGCATTGTCTATACCACAAACGGGAGCAGCAAAGGGACAACTGCTGCCATGGAAACCTCACCTGATGGCCTTTCTTAGTGGGTTCGTTCCTGCTTGAATACAAGCTATCTTGACGCCGCACAATAAAGGGCTGATCAACTGTAGGCATAAAGCTTACACACAAGATTGCTGATTACTAATGTTAATGAATGCCTTCAACGTTGCAATTCTAGTAGTCGTTATTCCTGTCCAACCTCATTATTAGATAAGCACAGGGGAGCATGCATTAAGAGTTACTTAGGAGTGCAAATCTAGATCCAATTTAAGACCCTGTTATTGAGCAGGTATAAAAAATGGGTCGTTTAGATAAAAATAAACCGAGGAGAAAAAGTTTAAGCTAAAAGTGGACCGGCTACTTTTGAGAATATAAAATTTAAATTGAACCTCCCTGTGTTTTGGTTCTGTGGCAGCCCACGTAGACATAACTGTGCATTTTCAAAGATGAATGCATTATAGGTCATTGAGCTCATTTAGCCATTCATTAGAAATGGTAAGAAAAGAAGGAATGGAAATATTCACACATTATATTAAAATTAAAATTTCTGTTAAAAAAAGTGGTGAATTTTGGACATTTTCAACCAGCTGGTGTAGAAATCAGAAAAAGCTATTTGAAAGCACACAATATTGCTTCTTTTTAGAAAAATCTGTCAAAAATTGACTTTGTACCTTTTTTTCACTTCTAGTATACAGTAGATGTTGTCTATCTCTCCTAACAAAGTAATCAGGAGGAAATGAAAACTATGTAGAGAAGATATACATACATTTATTCTTTGGCTATAGGTTTTTTGTTAATGAGGAAAAGTAACTACAAAAAATTGTCAGAAACTTGTGCTCTACCTGTTGCTTTGAGTAATGCAGCTGTTGCAATGGCATATGTAAAACTAGTCCTGTTAGAAGCAAGCTCAACGCGTTGATATAATGGCAGATAAACATGACACCCAAAAGATTTTGCAATGGGAGACTTGTTGCAGAAAATGGTTGCTCCCTCATGATGGCTGCTTTCAGCTACAGGAGTCTGAATATACTTGCACAGGCATCACAGCTTGGCGGCATGTTGTGGTCTGAACTCTGAGTGTCTCCACCCATTTCCTGCCCAAGTAGAGTCCTTCAGCAAAATCTGCAGCCAAACAGCAATCAGTACTGCGTGTTCTGGAAACAGGAACTACTAGATGAGGGGCTGTGTAACTTTTCAAGAGCAGTGAATGAGAGGACACAGAATAATAATGCATGTCATAAAATGGCTTAAAGAGCTTCCAATGCTCTTCCTCGTAACAGAAGCAGCACTTCAACAGAACTCAGAGACAAGAAATTCAAATCTGATAATGGAAGTATATGATACCTAATTAACCTCTGGAATGCTCTACCCTATCTTTCAGTGACACATCACTGAAATCAAGATATTCAAAAAAGTGTTGAAGTATACAAGTTTGGAAGTCTACTTAGTCCACTCCTCTTCTCTGGGCTGTATCATGCAACTCTAGCAAGCTTCTGAAGTCATGAGACTGTAAAAGCAATAAGAATGTGTACAGTTATGCTTAAGCTGAAAGAGTACAAGGCATGTAAACCATCAAGACTGAAGGATCCAAGCATCTACTTTTTGACATAGGTTTTGGAAGAAAACTTCCCTTACAGGCTGGTTATTCCAAAATCGCCTGATAAATCTCCTCCTGAAGCATCTGACATTAGCTACAGCTAGAGCCTGGATACACGACTACTCTGATCTACTATGGCAGTTCCTTTCTGGTTACTTCTCACAGCAGCAAGTCCTTTCCTGTATCTTCTGTGCCATTCAGGTTTCCAGTGACTGGCAGAAAGGAAGGCTGTATCTTTGGTCCCAAACAAATCCTAGGCCAGTTCCCCTTGTGGCTACTCCTTACCAAACAACAGAACATAGGCTTTTTCTACGCTTTTATTTCATTATCTTTTCTAGCATCACTCTCTTTCTTTTCCACAGAAAGTGAGAACTTTACCCAGAACTATTAAATCATGGAATGTCTCCCAAAGGAGGTGACAGGCTTACAGCAGCTGAGTCATTCAAAACTTGAACGAACAAATCATTTGTGGTTACAGAGTAGGGACCAACCCTGTGCTTTCAGAGACAGAAGCACAATGACCCGTACTAAATCTGTTCTACTTTTGGTTTCTAATACTGACTGATATAAGGCACATTTTCATAAATCCTCATGATCCCCCCCCCCCCCAAAAACCCCCACAGCCCACTTTGTTCTGCATCTAATCACAATTGTTAAGATCTCAGCCACATTAAGATGCTGGGCTTCTTATACCAGCCAGCCAGGCCTAAGTCACCTATACCAGGAATGTACACTGTTTAGAAATATTGAAGACTAAAAACTAAGTTCAATAAACAGTCATCAGTCAGGAAATAACAGCAATCATCCTGTGTTATTCCAGTTTCTTATGCTGGATTCTTCTCTATTGATCTGAGTGGTGCTGTACTATACATGGGTCATAGGACTCTGCTACTGGTATGGAGTGGCTTATGCAGAGCAGAAATTTGTGTACAGGTAGCTGGAATGACAGAAACTCTGCAGATTCGCTGCAAGGTGTTGTCATCTTTAGAATTAATCTATTTTGATAAATAGTATTTAATTTTAAATATAGTAATGGTTGCTATGCCTTCTTGAGCTATATTTTATTGAGCTGCACAAGCAAGCGAGAATGTATTATCCATGCGTGTCATCTGTGATCATACTGTTGCTTTGACTAAAACATTTGAGGATGTGGAGGTGGAGGTGAGCCAGAATGTAACAGTCCATAATGGCTATGTCAGACCTAATAGGCTGAGGATCCATGCAGCCTTCTCTCGCTGAAAGCACTTCTGCTCTCCCACCCTCCTTCTGGGTCAGGTACAGGGGACGCTAATCTTCTCCTGGCCTATTTCTGCTGCTTCTACTTCTTCCTACTCTTTCCTGTTCTAAGCAGCTCTGGCTCCAACTCTTTCCTCCTCTGCATTGCCTCATCTATCACCCACCTCTCCATCAGCCTTCCACTCTGATTTCAAAGCCTGTCTCCCTCTCCCCCTCCCAGCTTTTCCCACTTACTTGCATGATTTCAGCTTTCAAGCTGCTGACCTGCGAGCTGCACATTTCCTTACCCATTTCTCTTTTAACCCATGGTTCTAGTTCATTTCTTTTACTTGCCTCAAGGACTTTTTGGTTTTCTCCAATCACTGATTCCTCTGATCTCTATTGAACTTCTGTCCCCAGTGGTCACTTCCAAAAGCATTCATGACCCCCTCCCTACATACAGACCCTCAGCATACTCTAGCACAGCCATGCTCTGTCTGTCTCTCCTGCTCCACTGGCACCAGCCACCTCAGAAATCTTTCTGGTTTCTCAATCCTGACCTTCTTTATCGATATGGCTGTCAATTCCCACCAAGCTTCATGCTCTAACTCTCCAGCCCTCTCTTCCGAATGTCAAGGTTTGTCCTAGCAGTCTGCACCCTTATCCCTTTGCCAACATCTGAACATCTGCTCTTTCTGATCTTCCTCTTCTTCTATGGAGAATCGCTAGTGGAAATCCTACAGCAAGGCTGACAGCATCGATTTCAAATTCATTCCAAATTCTCAGTGTACATTCTTTTCTCAAATTCTTTCAAGAAGAATTCAGCAAATTACCCCACTTAAATGCTCTCCCTTGGCAAATCTACAGAACTCTCCTCAAGTCACTTCAAGAGAAACTTTATTTTCAAATGAAAGTTTAAAGGTACCTGAGCTCTTTAAATAGATTTATCAAAGAATGAATCAAGTCCAAGCTTGGCACATGTGGAGGCAGCTCCTAGTGGATTTGAGATAGCAATAAGAGAGCAGATCAAGTCTTTTGCTCCCAAACATACAGCCCAGCATGACTAGAGCAGTGGAGTCAGGTTCTTAGGGTCTGTTTTTTGGCATCCCCAAGTGCTCAAAAGCAGAGGGAACAAGAAGACCATTTTAAATAAACGTATTTGTCTCAGTTTATTTTAGGGACATATTAGGCTCTGATATTAGTTACCATGAGGTCATTCTTATTACAAGGAGCAACACATTTCTGGCTCTTTTCTGTTCCTTGACAACCAACTCCATACACCCATTGGCAGTATTTTCTGGTAGTACTGGCAAGCTCTTGGGTTTTCTTAGCACTGTCTAGTTTTAACAATTCAATACAAATTGTGACCTTTCCAAGCCATGCTAAATAAAGCCAATCGGCCTTTCCCGTCTTATCCCATGGCCTTGATCGTGAAAGTCCATGTATGGTCTACAACAGGCAATGCAAGTCTGTGAATGTTCTGCCTGGGCACAGTTTCTTAAGAGCAAGGGAGAGCTCCCTCTCATAGAGAACGCATGAGCTAAGTGTGCCTACTCAAATGCTCTCTGACCGAAGGGAGAGAATGCAAAAAGAAGAAAGAAAAACAGAAAACGGTTTTACTCTTCAAGAAAGGATGCTTTTCAGATAACATGTCTCTGAATAATGCTCAGGAGATATCAAGTTATTTAGCTATGTTCTTCCAACTTCAGTGATTCTATTCAGAATTGTTTGCCTGTTTTCTCATTTATCAAATATATATAATAGAAGCTTGCTATTCCACTATCTCTTTCACATGTGAAAGATTCAGTCACATATGAAATAAAACAGAAGCTCTCCTCTACTTGGAGTTGAAAAAATGCATGAACAGAATCAAACCTAAACAATATCCTTCTTTATGCTCCTTTACAGTACAAAGTGCGACATGATACATAAATCATGTAGCATGGCAAGATGGTTTCAGCTGAGGTGGGGAAAGAGTTCAAAATTCAAGGGCAAAACATAGAGAACATCTGATTAGCAACTGTCTCCACTTTACACTGAGAGGGGTGCAGTGAAAACATTTCTGCTGAGGGAAAAATGACATAGGGAGAAGGACAAATTCTCAAGTGGCAGACCCCTAACTTCTAGGTAAAAAAACAAACCAAGAACTAAGCCCCAGCAGGGGACCCATGGACAACCAAAGGTACAAAGGAAGGAAGTTCCACCAGGCTGTATGTAACTAGGTCATTTGCAGGTGTAGTCTAATTTTAATGCACTGTGCTAACCTTGAGGGGTCTAAATGGTACACCAACAATGGCAGCAAATCTGAATTAAGTAATTCCAAAAGTTCTAAGTGATTAAGGTCTCTACTTCAATGTGGTCACTTAGCAGCAGGAAGACAGTGGACCTCAGCTGTGAAAGGTAGGCACACTCTGGGTGAAAGAGATGAAAACCCCTCACTTTTCATATTTTCTGGTAGATTTTCCCAACCTGTGAATGTGAGATACATTGTATTGATATCATTGAGCCAAGATTTGGCTTGCAGCCTCAACCAAATCTTAGATAGAGGCTTCAATAACACTTGCAGGCTGAACACATGCAGAACTTGCAGATGATGGCACAGTGTAGCTTGTGTCTGTCTCCAGTCTTCCCCAAGGACCTTCTTTCATAAGAGTAGAGGGAGAAGTGCAGAATTTAGGCTGAATAAGCAATTGTCTCAGACCATCTTTAGAGAAAACACAACTTGGAAGAAGGTAAGTCACTTGTGAGTAGCCCTATCCATTTTGGAAATAATGGACGTGTAGGCAAAATCAATAAACAGCAAAAGCAAAGGCAGACCATCACAGGCTGTAACTGGGTATCTGTTTAGCAGTTAATTTCTTAATGCAGAATCTTCTTCCCCTGCTTTACTTGTCCTACAATTTCCTTTTACCTTGTACTTGTAGCTGTAGGATGTTGATGCACTCTAGTAGGCAGGATCAAGCCATGTAAGTATCACACTGATACTGTAACAGATTCTTAAAAGATTTTAAGACACCTCTGGTTTTATTTCACTTGCAGAACTGGATTGTTTCAATTTTCTATTCCTATTGAATACTATTGCATGTGTCTACTCAGATGATTTTGAGAAAACAGGAGTTGCCATAGGAGGTCAGATCACAGGTATAGTAACTCTGGCTCTAGGCACCCTTCAGAGGAAGGTCAAGAAATATCACAGTTATGCATTATCGTAATGGGTTAAAAAAAAGTAATAACTTTCTCCTGAAGGACTCATTAAGTGCCTTTTTGCATGTGGCTGTCCTTATCTTACAATTACAAATATTCTTTTTTAAGAAGGATATGTATGTTTATAAAAGCAAATGGCAGAATGTGACTGTTGTCCTGGGACACAACATCCCACTTCAGCTGGATTACTAGCATTTTATGATCACTCAGTGCGCGTGGATGTGTATGAATAATGGCCTTTCTTTCATTGGACCAAAGGGGCAAGTTGCATAGCTGAAGCAGTATGACAGTACTGCCTTGAGCCTGTGTTCCTCTCTCATTAGTTTTATCTTACTTGACTGGTGGAAAAAGCACTTGACTGGTGGAAAAAGCAGTATTATCCACAATTTTGGAAAATAGCCTCTTAGCTGAGGGAAGGGTGTTGTGAGGTGAGAAGGAATATGGGAAGTAAACAGGGGGTCATCAAATGTTTGCAGAAAGGATAAAGGATATATGGTATCAAAGGAGCATTGTAAATAAAACAAAGGTTTAGTGAAAAATAAAATGCTAGAATGACCAAAGTAAATAAGCTCTGTCATATAAGTCAGGTGCTTGAATAGAAACTGCCCAAACACTTAATGTTGTGTAAGGAAAATTATTTCTGTTTTAGTTTAATTTTTCACAAACATTTGCATTTTTTAAAACAAACTTCAGAGTGTTTGGATTACTGGCTTATTCTGAAATCAATTTTACAGAAAGAATTTATGAACTAGTAAAGAAAAAAGACAGTGTTCTATCTTTTCTGTTGCCGCTTAAATACTGATGCAGGAAATCATTTGCCTATTCTCAATTTTATTTGATAGAACAAAAACCCTAAGCAATAAAACTAAGGTCCAAGAAAAACATTTAGCTTGAAAAAAGGTTGAAAAATGTACCCTTGGAAAGACCACTGCTTACATGGGATTGTTCAACAAATTCCTGTTGTGTGAGGTTTGGCATATACTTTCTAAAAATATAAGCATCTGGGGAAACCAGACAAAGCCCAGGTCTTGGACCAAACGAGGCATGCAGCGTGAATCTGTTAGCGATTATATCCATAATGAAATATGTGTCCAAATTTAGCAGTACAAAACCCCCAATACAATATGAAAACACAGCATGTACAGCCCTTACCATAAAATATAGCCAACAGCGAAGGTGCATACTGCAGCCAGTCCACAGCTCCTGCTGGGATACTGATGATGTGTTGTTCTCATCTCGATTAATACAAAGGGCAAAACTGTTGTATGCTGAAAAAAACAAAACAACGGGGGAAAAACAGGTGATACAAATGATTCTCACTGCATTTCCATGCTAGTTCTACAATAAGAAACTTAATGACAAAAACCTGAAGACAATTTCTTGATGGGTAGAAAGAAAAGGTAAAACGACTCTATAGTTGATCAATAACCCAAACAATATTGTCACTATAACATCCAATTGTTCAAGAGAGCAAAGGAAAACTGAGTGAGCAGAACATGCTTTTCTTTTTGTCCAGGAATCCAAGGCAGATACTCAGTAAGTAAAAAGGGGATGTGGCATGAGGGGACACGGGTCCCAGTTCCAGTTTGGCCTTGCAGTTGGTCTGTGATCTTTGCCACATCACCTTGGTTATTTTGACCATTCAAGTTAGGAGGCAATGCATCTGATTTTCAGAGACTCTAAGCACAAACAATGCCAAATGAATGAATATAAATGGAGGTATTTAATGCTTCTGAGAATTAGGTTTAAATGTATCTCAATCTGCGGACTTGAAAACAGGGGACATATTTTCAAATGATAGCCTCAATACCTCTGTTCCTCCATCTGTAAGACAGGAGCAATTATCTTCTTCAGAAAGGTGTTGTGAATCTTAATTTGGTAGTTGTTGTGCAAAATGGTTTGAGATTCCCAAATGAAGCATACGAAAGCCAAAGCTGTAAAAACCATTTTCAGCCACTTGTCTTTATTTAGCTGTGAAACTCCTTATTTTGTCATTTTTCCATACACATTTCCTACACTGCCCCTTCTGAGAAGGTCTGTTCATCCAATTAATGTCAGCAGCATGAAAAATTGCATCTAGTCTGCCCCCAACACTCGATGTCTAGATTTCAGAGTGCTGGCAGGCATGAAAATATACATAAGCGAAGAACAAATGTGCCAGGAAATAAACCCCATCATTTCTGAACACACAGCTCACCTAGGACCAGCATTATTGGCGACTCCAGAAACATACCCTGCCTTGCCACCATGGGGCCAAGTTATCACTGGTGTCTAAAGGGAATTACTTCAGCTGAGAGCTTGGCTCTGGGGCTTGGTGTGACTGTGACCGTGAACTCTCCTGCCCAGTCCACAGGGAGGTCTGCAGGTGCAAGGACTGCAAGGGCAGCCTGAGCCCTAAACCAGGTTCAATCCTTCCCCAAGCATTTGATCACCTACTGGAAAAGAAGGTTATGGCTTACGTTGGCCACGTTCTGCCATCAGATGCGCACACGCAGTTCTGGGGGGATCTGGAGGGCCGGATTTTTAAGTTTGTAATAATTATGCTGTAAACCCACACTGATTTTCAGCAGCATGAAGACAGGGCAGGAATGGAGTAGAAATATCCTTGCATGGATAACAGGTCCAAATAAAAGAAAACAGAGTAGGGCCTGAGCCTTTAACAACTGCGGAGAAGGAAGAATTGTTTGAATGGGAAATGATAAGATAATGGAAATGCTCTGGCTCAGAGATGTAACATAATTTGAATTGGATAACTGCTCTGATTTTCAAGGCATTAGTAATTAATGACTAGCATTTGGAGAATGTCAGGTGGATAATACAGCAGTTAGGGGAGCTTTCAATTTCTTCATCTTTTAACAACTTGTTCTGCCCCCACCCCTTTAAACAGTACAAATTGGCATCAAGGGAATGCAAAGATGTTTCACATGAGGTCTGCGATAGACGTGCCCACTATTAGATGAGAGGTCTATAAACTGCACAGGACTTTCAGAGTCCATTAACAGGGACTGACAGCAAAGCAAGCCCTGGAGATTCATGTGTATGTCTTGCATCTGTATGGAAAAGATCTTCAGACAGAGATCAGTACCTCACTCTGCACAGCCCCCAAAGCAGGGTACCTGGAGGCTGTGCAAATGTCTCCTGCCCTGCCTCCATAACCTCTTCAGAGAAAAAAACAGAAGACAATGAAGACTAACTCCAAAACCCACCCTTGATATTCCTTGTACGATGTATTCTTGCGATCCAGTCACTTAGTCTTAACTCTTCGCTATATGGATGATGGTTACAGAGCTTGTGAGCTCCATTTCTCAATTGAAATGTTTACCGCTTTAGATACTGCTTGTTGATGCACTCTTCATTGATGATAACAACTCAACAGCTTGCCAATTAAAAAGTAGTTAAAATAATTTCAGCAATCAACCCTTAATCTAGAGTCCTCTTCTCCTTTCCCTCCTCCCAATTCCTGTGGTTATATAATAAAATAGGTCATTATTTTCCTAAATTCTCCCTTCTGCTCTTTTCTAAAGGTAAGAGGGGGTGGGGGAGAGGGTAATGAGCTGTATCACTATAGAGTTTGTGTACAAAATCCTGTTAAAAGTACAGTGCAATTAAAAGTATAAGCAGAAAATGAGACATGTACCTTTAATCTTAGTCTGTTATAGCAAATGTCAATGCTACCTGCAAACACTGCAGTTTTACAAATCCAGAGTATGAACTTTCGTTTAAAATGTTCTAGTGAAACTGCCACTCTGAAAAGCTGTTTCAGATCTTTACCCAAACTACAACCAAGATAAAATTTCCCTTTCCTACATTTCAGCCCCTCCAAAAACCTTAATTTAAAAAACATGGAATTTTGTAGGCAGGGATACCTTCTGTCAAACAGTGCCAATTAAAACTCTGGAGCTATAAATACAAATTTGAATCAGACTGGCACCCGGACTCAAGTCTAGTGAAGGTGAGCAGGGGTCAAATGGGCTTGGAGTGGGATCCATCAGGGCTGGAATGTTGGAGGAGGCCAGAAATTTCATGCCCTCTAACGTTTTTTGCCACCTGATTTCTGAATAAACTTGGGCCAATGGGAATCTGAGGCTTAGAGAGAAAATACCATTGATGTGTCCTTGATCTGTTAGGTAAAGAGCACACCGTGCTGATCAAAGGTGTCCAACTGGTGCTGCTGGGACTGATCCCTTTTATTTACTGGCAGGCTGCAGGACAGCACAACATTTCTCACTTTGTTTGTTGAAGTATCTCCAGGGGCTTACGTGAGAGAAGACTAAGGAATGAGGAAGTTCAAATAACAAGGAGGTTTAAATGGTAAGGATCATTAGCTGCTGTAACAGCTTTCCAGTAGTTGTTATTTTGCACCATTTAAAGTCTTTAAGAAAAGGGCAAATTTATAATTAGAGTATAATGACTAGTACAGTATTATAATAGTAGTAAACTATGCCAGCACTATTAATCAATGCTATATTGATAAGGCACTTTTATTATGGACTAAGTATTCACAAGCAAAGCTGCATTTTTACCTGGACACTTAATTCTGCTCCCACTGAGATGAGCTGCTCCTGTGAGACAGTTTTGCATGTATGACTGTGCTTACACTAGCGGGTACGTCAGGGAGCACCATCTCCATCAGCCAGGAAGGCGACACTTGCTGCATGTGCGCCCTGGGGTGACCACAGGCTCACGGTAGCCCCCAGCCCTGCCGGGACAGCAGCGAGGGAGCTAACGAACCCTATCGTTAGGCTGAGCTCTTAGCTTGGGCTCAGTAACTATATCTACTTGCAAGAAAATGTGCCCTGTCAGCTTCTCCCGCCATGACTGCGGTGCTACCTGCCGAGGTGCCCTCCCAGCCACAAACCGCTTTTTCTCTACAGTGCCAAGGCAGTGACCCTCAGACCCATTTTCAACCCCTCTCTGAAGGATCCATCTGCCAAGACCGCCTTGTGAGTTGAAGGGTGGCTGTAAGACCCCATTACCCATCTGCAGCATTGCCCTGCTCAGAGCCCTTGTGCCCCATCATTGTCTGTCCCCACAGTGGGGAAGGGAGCTTTGACAGATCTTTATGCTTGCTAGGTCTGCTAGCAAGTGCTGGTCTCTGCAGAGCAGGAAGCTGCAATTTCCTCCCCATTTTGTGTCCACCACATGGTGCTTCTTCCCAAGGTCCTATCACCTACAAGTGGGGAAAAAATTTGGCTTGCTGAATCTTCAACTACTGGTAACGATGCATGAAAACAGAGAGAAACCAGCCTGACATGCAGAGCTTGGGTGGAATTTGCAGGAAGGTTATCATATGGAGAATTTGATCCAGAAAACACTCGGGAGACTAAAGGAGCAACCTCTGAGTGAAGATGAATTAGCCCACAGTGCAAAAAAAGCCACCCCGAGAGCTGCAGGTGAATTAATTCCTAGAACCACTGCCCTGCTTCCTGAGAGAAACTCTGCTCATTAATGACTCTTTAAATGATATTTTTAAAATAGACACCACCTCCCACATGGTATGTATGTGCCTAATGATATTTGAGACTGGAAAATCACATTACAAATAGGCAGCACATCTGCAGTGTTGGCTTGACAAGTTGAGCTTTGATGGAGGACTGTACTTCCCCATTCTAGGTGTGTACTGCAACAGGTAGTTGGAAAAAAAGATTTTATGCAAATCAGGTACATTAAGAATGAGTTCTGTAATAGTCTTTAGGCAAATTAAGTGTTCATTCTTGAAAGCCTGATTATGTATTTTCTCTTCCAACCAGTAAGTGCTGCTTTTTTTAACACTGTTTTCATCAATACCTTGCTTGGTCTTTTCCCTTAACTGTGTTTTAAAGGTAATGTTAAAGCTTTTCAAAAGGTGCTAAACTGACAGCTTTATGTAGGTATCTTCTGTCCTTAGCCCAAACATGGCAGTGCTGTCTTCCCAAGTCACCCAGTCCTGAACTGCAGAGACTGTCCAGAACTACCTTTACGACAAGGAGTTCCCTCTAAAAAAGCATCTGCTTTCTCAGACGCCCAGTCAGTACACAGAAGTCCTGCAGATTGTGAAAACATTTGGCAATCATGTAAATTGTGATTATAATTCACTTCGACTAACACAAGACTGCAACTTGTTACTCAATTTGATCAGACTAAAAACTACAGGGTATAGGACATTTTAGTTCAATGGAAATACCATGGACCTCTACTGAGAGCGCTTCAGCGTGACATTTGGCCTGCAATCTTAAGAGTCAGCGGAATCCCAGTGACAAGAAAGGAGGCCTCGCAGCTTTGATGTCAC